CGCCCCAGCTGCTGTGGCTCCAGCTGCTGCAGCCCCTGCTGTGGTGGCTACAGTGGCTGTGGAGGTTCCAGTGGCTGTGGCTCCAGCTGCTGCAGCCCCTGCTGTGGTGGCTCCAGTGGCTGTGGAGGTTCCAGTGGCTTTGGCTCCTGCTGCTGTCGCCCCACCTGCCTCCAGACCACCTGCTGCAGGACCACCTGCTGCCGCCCTAGCTGCTGTGGCTCCAGCTGCTGCAGCCCTTGCTGTGGAGGGTCCAGTGGCTGTGGCTCCTGCTGCTGTCGCCCCACTTGCCTCCAGACCACCTGCTGCAGGACCACCTGCTGCCGCCCAAGCTGCTGCTGCTAGTCTGTGTGCTGCCAGCAGTCCAGGGTGCTGTGTGTCCAGCTACTGTAGGCCCTCCTGCTGCATCTCCAGCTGTGACCAGCCCTCCTGCTACCAGACCACCTGTGGCTGACCAACCTGCTTTGGTGGATCTTGCTGTTGGGTGCACCCTGACCGGGCCCCTCCTCTTCTTCATCAACCAATATTTTTGATGGAGTCTCTCTGTGCACCCTATCCTCAGGCCAATTGTAAGCATTAGTTCCAACTGCTTTTAAGATTGGTTTGCCCTTCAGATATACTGCCCCTTTCTCCATGAGATAACATCTCTCCCAAATGAAAACAGGTTTGAGTTTTCTCTCTGTTCTGTCAACTCTAATGTTACCCCCATGGAAATGATTTCTCTATGCCATGTTTTCTCATGTGGTGATAATCCTACATCTTAAATAAACCTGAATTTTATTGGCACCCAAACATAATGGTATTGTGTCTCTTTATTTTTCCTTCTGGAATGTTTGTCCTCCTTTCACACTTTGATGGTCGCTCCTTTCTAAAGAGCCAGAGACCACTGCATACAACTGAAGACACTCCATGTCTGCTCTTTAAACATTTCTCCTGCTCATGGAGGAAGGTGGTTTGGAAAGCAAGCCCCTGACTCTTCCTGCCTGAGGACTTTCTCTGGATGAAGAGCAAGCTCTGGGCAGGAAGGTTCAAGCACCCAGACACAGAGGTCAATCAGTGAATGGGAATTGGAGCACAAATGCTCCTGCTCACTTCCCCTCGGGTGCATCCTACCAGTCACCCTGAGGTCCTCTGTGGGATTGGACCTTAGCTGCCTCCAGGGTGTTCTACTCAGTACTCTCTCCTGCCTTCTGTCACTTCCCCCATCACTTCCCAAGTCCCCTACAGTGCTTCCTGGGGTCGTTTCCCAACCAACCTATTTTCTTTCAAACTCCTTTATCTGGGTCTGGTGGCAAGATCACCCAGACTAGGACTCCCGTGTGCATCTTATCAGTGTGGGTGCCCTTGACCCCATTTCACACAGATGCATGCTTGCCAGGTTGTCAAGGTGAACTCTTGGTCAACTGTCCACCAATCTGGCAAATCTTCTGAACAACTCAATGTTTATTTCTAATTTTCTAGTAGTTTCTTTTAGAATGGTCATTTTGGATGCCTTTTGCCCCCACTATATCACTGGATCTGAGGTATAGGCAATAATAATACCACACTAGTAACTCTTATTCTAAAGGGGCTACCACCTGAGGCTGTGTATAAGGACGTGCCACTCTGTGATGTGGACATTAACTGGGATTCACTGAAAGCACATCCTGAAACAGCTATTTTTTTTTCAAGAAAATTTAATAAAGGAAGGGTTTCAGTCGAAATAGAGAAGATATTGTGGGAAGCAAGTTAAGCATCTGAATTAAGCAAATAGAAACACCTCAGCCAAAATATGATTAAATTCACCGTCATCTGACCCTTCTAAAGCTCTAGAAAGTGACAACACAGCGCTACCTCTCCTAGATGTGAGATGGCTGGTCCTCAGCACTCTTTCTCAGCTGTCACTATCCATGGACTACCCAGGGCAGGACAAAGGGCATACACAGGGCAGAAAGATCCAGAGGAAATAGCATCTATATCTGAGGACAATTTCCTGAAGAATAGAGCAGGTCAGTGGTGTAGGACACCTTCGTTGTGCACTCACACTAGCTTGAGAATGACAGACCTTTCTCTTTAACAGTTTGTTTTGATATTAGAGTGATATAAAGAGTATAGATAGGCACTGGGGTTGTAGCTCAGTGGTACAGGACTCACCTAGCACGTGTGAAGCACTGGGTTCGATCCTCAGCATCACATAAAAATAAATAAATAAAATAAAGGTATTGTGTCCAACTACAACTAAAAGAAAAAAATATTTTAAAGAAGTTGTTTTTTTTTTAAAGAGTACAGATAATCATCATTCTTTTAATTTTCAGTGGCCAAAGTTTAGTGTTTCTAGCTCAGGACCCTTTCTTTAGGACATAGATACCACCAATGATATTTTATTGTTTTAGCTAATTCAGTTTGAAATTGACACAAACGCATATAATACAGAAAATTTAAAGAGGTGTGTGTTAAACCTTCAGTTCTGGAAGTCTCATTTTGTTATCTTCTATTTCCTTTATAGTGACATCTCTGTATCTTCTTGTTGTTGCTTTTAAGTAAATTTCCACTTTCCTGGCATTAAAAAATGACATTTTCTGGTGTCTGTTGCTGTGTTAATCATTGTTCCCAGTTAACTGGGATATTATATACAAAACACAATTAAATAAAGCTTTCCAATTCCTGCTCTCACCATGAAGTCAATCCCAACATGTTATGAATTGAGAGGAAAAAAATATATATTGATGTTCCAAAAGCATTGAAGAATAACAAATATTTTATTTAATTTTCTTAGGGGTAGGAGAAGCAAGGTCAAGCAGCAAATCTTCCTTCATCTTTGAAAGCATATCTTCCCTAAGATTCCACTCCTCTTATTTGCTTTATCCCTCCATTCGGCCCTTCCTTGTTTGTTTCAATTTCTTTCTTTACTGTTCTATACTTTTCATTACAGAGGCCCTTCACCTCTTTCATTAGATTGATTCCCAAGTATTTTTTTTTTTGGACTATTTTGAGTGGGATAGTTTTCCTAATCTCTTTTCCAGCAGATTCATCATTGGAGTATAGGATTTATGGGTGTTGATTTTGTGTCCTGATACTTTGCTGAATTCATTTATGAGTTCTAGAATTCTTCTGGTGACAAGTTTTAGGTCTTCTAAATATATAGTTTTGGGGGCTATATCATCAGCAAATAGAGATAGTTTGAGATTCTCTTTTCCTATTTGTATCCCTTTAATTTTCTTCTCTTGCCTAATTACTCTGGCTAGGATTCTGTTGAAATACAAGTAGTGAAAGTGGGCTTCACTGTCTTGTTTCTCTTTTTAGAGGAATGCTTTCATTTTTTTTCTCCACTGAGAATGATGTTGGCTTTGGGTTTGCTAGATATAGCCTTTACAAGGTTGAAGTATGTTTCTTCTATCCTTAGTGTTTCTGGCGTTTTAAACATGAATGGATGCGTATTTTGTCAAAGGCTTTTTCTGCATCTGATAGATAATCATGTGATCCTTTTCTATTGATGTGGTGAATTACATTTATTGATTCCCATATGTTGAATCAAACTTGCATCCCTGGGATGAACCTAAAAAAGTGAAATTTATAGGAGCAGAAAATAGAATGTTGGTTACTAGACGCAGGAAGTTGGTGAAAAAAATGGGGAGATATTGGTCAAAGTGTACAAAATTGCAGTTATATAGGAGGAATAATGTTAGGTATCTAATATCCATCGTGGTGACTATAGTTAACAGTACTATGTCTTAGAAACTTACTAAGAACGCGGCTGTGGAGTGTCCCCACACATCCCTGGGAGGGAGTGAAGATGTTGATTAACTTGTACAAAATATCATGTTCTATACCTTAAATATGTACTATATTAGAGACAAACAAATAAAGCAAGCCTGCAAGGAGGAAAAACAACACATATTTTACCAAAAATAAGAGTAAATCTGAACTCCAACTGATGAAGAGACAGCTTCAAAATGCTGGGGGTGGAAAAACACTACCAGTATAGACTCAAATACCCAGAGAAATAGAAAGGACAGTGAAATAAAGTCATTTTCTTTCTTCAGGCAGAAGATAAATGTCATATAGAGGCAAGGTGATATTGAAGGACTGATGATCACAACAAAGGTAATTCCATGACATACTTTTCTAAATTTGTTGTTTTCCATATATTCAATTTCTTAAATATTATTTCTATGTTTATCTTTGCCTTTTAAATCAATTAATTTATAGCATCTTTCAGAATCTTCCGTTATCTCAGTGCCTGGGAGTTACATTCCCTTTCTCTATATTAACTGTGAACCCATGATCGATTATTTCTTACGTACTTTGTAACATTGGCCTGTGCAATTATCTTATGTAGGAAGTGTCCCCCAGGAACATCCCATACAGTCTGTGTGTGGTTTCTTAAGATTTATTTCTCTCTGTGTTTAATGTTTTGTTCTGGTTTTTTTTTTTTTTTTTTTTGGTGGGGGGGTAGTTATTTCTGTCTGGGAGTTATTTTGTTTTTCGCTTTTGTGTCTGATGACTCCAAAGACATTCTCTATTTAGTAGCATTTAGTTTCTAACCTTGATTCCTTCACTGTGCACACAGTGTAACTTAGGAAGTTTGGAGGCAATGCATGGTTTAAATGTTCATGAGAGATTTGATTGCCATGTAGAATTTCTGAAATCAGACTTAGGCTTTCTTGTCTCCATCTTCTTCATAAGATACAACTTTAAGAATACAAACATTACGCAGGGGCCTCATATCCTAGACCCTGCCTTGTGATATAGTTCAAGGTCCAATTTCTTATACCTGCCTGAGGCCACCAGCCACCAATTCTGAAAGCCTACAACCAGATGCCAAAACTTCATAGGCCACAAGACATCTGCTACAATTTGCGATTTGAGTTCCCTCTTTGATTCTGAAAAATAAGAAATTTTCTATTTTTTTTCCTTTCTTCTTCAAATTCATCTATGTAATTGAAATATTTTTTTAAAAAAAATTTTTGAATCACTTCTATTTGCTTGTATCAGGAGGTGGATCTGTCCATAACCGCTTGGCGAATCATGTTACTAGAAACTCTTTAGTTTTAGGGGAATCAAGAAGGTGAAAGAATTACTGTGTGTGTTAGATCAATAAAAATGGGTACTTATAATAGAAGCCCCTTTAAAGTAAAACTTATCAAATACTTTGGCTTCCTCCTCAAAGATTCAAACTACCCATTCCCCACCCCCACCCCCCCCCGGCCCCTTTGGCACTAGGATTGAACCCAGGGGTGCCTAACCATTGAGTCACATCCCTAGGCCCTATTTTATATTTTATTTAGAGACAGAGTCTCACTGAGTTGCTTAGGGCCTCACTAAGTTACTGATGCTGTCTTTGAACTCACAATCCTCCTGCATCA